TGCCATTATTTCTCCTGCATCTGTTCTTTACATAGCAGCGTGATCTCTCTTAAGTGTCATCACATTTTGCCACATCCCTGCCTGAGCCCAGCAAGGCATTCTCCGTTCTATGGCCTACAAGGGCAGGCATGATTGGGCTTTGCCTGCTCTCCAGCCTCACCTCTGTCACTCACTCTAGAACACTATGTTCCAACCCCACTGGCCTCCTTTTAATTCAAGGAACATGCCATCCTCTTCCCTGCCCCCAGGTGCTGTTCACTTGGCTTCCCCATTCACTAGCTCTGTGTCCTTGGGCAAGTTACTCACCTCTTCCTCACCTGTAACATCATAATAGTATCTATCTCAGAGTTGTTAAGAGGATTAAGTGGGTTGGTTCATGCAAAGCTCTTAGAGAACCACCCTTTTCTCAGAAGAGCCTTGTCAGTGGTTAGCAGTTTTCATGGTCATCATCTTTCAGGTTTAAGCTTAAATTTTACCTCAGAGTGCTGTCCTAACACTCATCATTCCCTTCAATATTCCCTATCTCATAATCCTGTTTTTTACCCCTTTGAGCACGTATCAAGATGCAATTATATTTTACTTTATTTTTTCTATATCCCATTCTGGCCTGTGGCTCCATAGTGTCAGGAGCTGTGCTTGTGTTGTTCACAGCCAGTTCTGTGCTGCTTAGCATATATTGTTTGTAGAATGAATTAATTTATATCAACATCTCCAACCACAAGATTACATAGAAGTTCTCCCTACATTTTTTTTTTGCTATAGTTTGATAGTTTCATTTTGCATTATAAAATAATTCATCTATATGAAACTTAATTCTAAGTGTGATTTGAGATAGGAATGAAAATTAATTTTTTCCCCAAATGAGTTAGTCAACTGCAATTTTTGTGAGTCTTTTAAAGAGAGCTTCTACCAGAAGGGAGGGGGGAAAAGAAAAATAAAATGTTAAAAAAAAATTATATATAGTATGAAAAAAAGAAATGGCATTAAAAAATAAAATAAATAAAAATAATAAAAAATAAATTTAAAAAAATAAAAAGGGCTTCAACTCAAATTATTGTCCTTAGTAACTCTGATGTTTTTTGTTTCTTTCATTTATTTGTCTCTCCTTGGGTAATCCTCTTGCAAAAAGTAAATGTAGAAACCGTTCATTGACTTGAGTCAAATTCCTCGTGAGCATGCTGGCCTAGTAGCTAGCTGGAAAGATGCTCCTAGCATCACTTACTGTGGCCTAGTATCCGAGAGGAGGAAAGACATAATGTGACCAGCTTACAGATTTATTACATTTACTCAATATCTAATGCTGCTAAACCTGCTAGATATCTTAGATAATCTTCTTTTGGATATGCTGTCTGCCATTTAAAAGAAAACTATTGAAACCTGAAAACTTCAACATTCCAATGATTAAATTACATTTCCTTAACTGCCTCTTGCATTTAGATGAGGGATGAAAATGCTTTGGCGGACCATGTATTTTAATCTTTGGTTTGGAAAGAGCGGTCACTGTTCTTTTCCATATTTTAACTTTTAAAATTAAAATCAATGACAAAAATAATACCCATTGTCATATATTCAAGCCATAAAAGATGTATATAGAAAAAAAATTGACCATTGCAGTCCATCTTCTGGCCTACCCCTTAGTATAACCACAGCTGAGTTTATTGTATATTCTTCTAGACTTTTTAATGCTTAGTAAATATATTAGATCTTCACACACACTTGCATGCTTTTTTGGAACAATGTCATAAACCCACTTTCTTATAGACATCAGCAGGCTTTAAAAACACTTGAAGCCTTTGTTTTCTGGTTGGCAGCATTTTAGAGAAGTTACTAATTAATATTTTCCCAAGGCTTTACTCTCTAAGCCCTGCTTAGTTTGTGTGAATTACTGGATGTAATCTTCCAGAGGGCAGGGGCTCAGGCACATTTAGGAATGTGGCATAATCTGATAATGATTTCCCTCTCACTACAGAGGAAGAAATGAGGATTTAAAAGGGAAGCCAGTAGAGTGGGAAAAGAGAAAATTCTTCTAAGTTCATGAGGGTGAACATTTAGCCAAAGGTTTTCCACTGGGTTAGGTAACAAGTAGATTACTTTTCAGAGAAAAGGGATGGCAGATGGGGTGCTGTCAGGTTATATCCTTTTGCATAACTTCGTCTCACCTCATTCTCTTCTGCCTTCTTTTTGTTGTCATTGGTCCATGAGAATAGAAGATAAATTGGGGATGGAGTAAGGTGGAGGGCAAAGTGACTCACCAGGCTGTGCCCTTCACACTGGCATAAGAAAGCAGGCAGTTGTCTGGCCCAGCTTCTGATCTATGGTACTGCAGTCCAGAGAACTAACTGTAAGATTTCTGTAAGTGATGGGGGCTCTGGACTTATGCAGAATTGGCGCTTGTCAGGGTTTTCCACAGTGCCCACCTTATTATACTAGAGAGGCAAGTTTCATTGCTTAAAGGGACAATTTACGACAGTGAGCTTATCTCCTTATTTTAGCTCTTTATGTTTTTCTGCCTCTTAATAAAATGTGAAGTCACAAAGCAATTAAATAGTAATGTAGTTTTCAGGCAGGAGGTGGAGAAAGGCTAACCAGAGGAAAAGGCTAATATGATTGACAGAGGCTGGCTGGAGATTTACATTGAGAATAACTCGTTCTTCAAAACTTTCTTCATTTTCTTGTGGGAATTATGGGGTAAAT